TTAGCTGTGGTAAGCCCAGTTGCTGGAAAGGCCTCAATTTGGGATTCCTTATGTCTTCAGGACTGTGACTCACCATTTTTGCTGGCAATGCTGCATGGCTTCGTCCAGAGCCTTCACTCGGCTTATCACAGTCTGACGTCCCTCCCGATAGCTTTGGCCTCGCTCCCAGCTGGGAAATCTGCCAGATTCCTTTCTCCCCCGGCTTGCCGGCTGTCGCTTCCCCCCCCTCCCCGGGGAAGCTGCTTCAGCTAGGAGGAAGCTGGTCTCAGACAATTTCTTCTCCTTCATTTCAAATGTTCCCCAAATCTTTACCAGTACCTCTCAAACTTCGAGGCAGTGGATGGGGTTTGGGACCCCATATTGTTTTAGAATGAGATGAGACCTAAGCATAATGTCATGTGTCTGAGTAACGAAACACTTAAAAGGACTTTCAGGCATGTTTTCTCCTAAAAGCATTTATTAAGGTTACAATACGTCAGCACAGCATGGTGGAATGCTTAGGTCTGCTTCTCTTCCGCTACGCATAACATTCCAAACATTTTCTACTCCCTTATTGTAGGGTCATGGTTCACATCTTCCAATCAACTTGGAAGATGTGATTTACTTCCGGTTTCTTTCTCCCGGGCTATCCTTATGCTCCTCCCTCTTTCCCTGTTGCTGGTTTAACTATATATATACCAGACAGTTCTGCACATTGTCAAAGCAAGAATATACAGTATTTGCAGCGTTGACACCTAATTAATTGGATTTGAGAAGCTGATAACCACATTAACTCTTTAAATCTATTGCTTAGTTGTAGACCAGACATGTCCAACCTTGTCAACTTTAAGACCTGGGGATGTCAACTCTCAGAATTCCCCAGTGAGCCATGATGGCTGGGGAATTCTGGGAGTTGAAGCCCCAAGTCTTAAAGTAGCCAAGGTTGGGCACCCCTGTTCTAGCCTTTTACTAAATTGCCTTTCATATTTCAGTTTGAGGAAGACACACTGGCATTTTTTTCCAAATATTTCTAAAATGGCCCCAAAGAAATCGATGTAGTTCTGTTGCAGGAGTTACCTTAGCAGCTGACCAGACTGCTTTAGGTCAAGCCTGGTTGCAAATGCAGAGCTGTAGCTTTCTACAGCAGAATCTGTGGAATTTCTGACCTGTAGAACATCCCAAGCTGGAGGAGTATAATCATTTGGAAATGGGAAGATGAAAAGGGAATGTGGTTGAAAAACAATGGCAAAGTCATACCTAGGTCATAGAAGAGAGGCCCAGAACAGATTTGGATGAGGTAGATCTTTTCTCACAGAAGAACTTCAAGCAGTATTAAGTGCTCTAGAGCAATTTGTGATATATCTCATATTATCTTTATAGGCAAGTTACAGTGTACTATTCTGTATGTTGAGGACAGCAGTCCCCGCACACATACTCCCATGAGTCCACTACCCTTGCAGTCTTCATTAATGCGACCTCTCTCTTGTTTTAAAGAATACGTGTTCTATGCAGTAACAATTGGTTGCTTCCAGGACTGTGTGTTTATTGTTGGTGACCTCAGAATTTCATTTAGTTCTTCAAAAAGTGTTTTAACTCTTGAAGTTTGAGAAGAAAAATGTGAAAGGGTGTAGGCAAAGCAGAGATACAGTGCAGGGCTAGTATAGCCTTTTCTCATGGTGAAGGCAAAGCCTCGTTCAGATGGAAGGCATTGTCTTAATAATAAAAAAGATTATATTTAAAAAGTTAACATAAGAAACAGGCAGGCTCTTGCCTTTGTCCCAACAGCCACAAGCAGCACTCAGTTATGATAATTATAATTCTTAGCTTTGGGGATTGGGCATATTTGTGTGGGTGGACCTCCTGTTTGAGCTGACAAGTGCGGATGGTACCTGTGACTTTTATTTGTGCACCTGAGTCCTTCTGGCCATCTCATGTACTTCGGGGGATGTGAGAGATGTTTGTGGGACTCAGTCATCTTCCTTCTTTATACTTTTAGATGCAGCCTGATGTGAGAGAAGCCAGTAGACTACCAGGGAGGCCAGAGGCTTAGACTGAGGATGAGGAAATTGGGCCTCTGTGTTCCCATCCCTGACACTCCAGGAACCTCAGGGAAATCATGACTTTCCAGGCACCAAAGGGTCAACTTGCTCTTCCAGAGCCTCTCCAGGTCTTCTCTCTGCATGGATAGGAGTACCAGAACTCTGGAGGTAGGGATGGCTGGGTTCTTTTGTTACTCCCCCCCAACCCTTGTCCGGACACTGGAGCCTCCAGAGCACAATAAATAAGACTTTTTTATAACCTTCTTAGCCTTTGCATCTCCCTTTCAAATTTTATTGGTTTTTTAACTTTTACAACAGAATGCTCAAGACACACCGTGGTGGTTAGGTGATCAATCATCCAAAAACAAAATCATATAATAGCTCAAGTAAATACATTAAATGTTCCCTCTCTATTTCCCTCAAATAATATAACCTATTTAACATAATCCATTTCTACATTACATATCTATAAATCCTAATCCTGTTTTGAGCTTTATTAATTTACAATTACCATAGTCCAATATAATCTTAGATAAATGTATTATCACTTCGGGTATCCCTTTTAAAATACTAATCCAGATATATTCTAATTCATAATCTCATAAATCATTGATTTTATCATAGATCTCTCTTATTACTTCAAATAGCATTTAAATCTCATTCAAATAATTATATCTAAAAGAAAACCACACACCTATTATTACACAAAACATCGTCTTGCTAACTTAACACACTCAATTAGTTGTTAAAGCTATCCGAATTTCTAAAAGCCTCTTTCATATTCTTATTCTCATTCCATTACAAAATAATTTTCATACAAATAAACATATTATTAGAAAAAATACATTCTTACTCTGTTTAACATATATATTCTAATAATCACAAATTTTCAACTCTAAATCTTAATCCTTAAATCAATCCATATTTCTCAAAACCTTTTTAATCCATCACATATAATTTTAAATTTGTCTTTTTAGCCTTATTCTGGCTTTCTTCCTACGCCAAGCAGGCTTCCATAACAAAGCCTCTATTTCAGCAAATAAATCTCCCATTATTGCTTGTAATATCATTTGGGTCAGTAAAAGACCTCCCATCCTCTGTTTTTGACGCCTGGTTCCTGTCTGCTGGATAAAACACTCGATCATGTCCAATTTTATAATTAATAGTTGATTATCAGAGTTGTCATAATTCTCCAACAGTTGTAATTTCAAGTCCATTTCTGTTAGTTTTGCAATTGTAGATAGTTTAGTTACAATCATTTTTTGGTCATCCAAAGTCTCCATAGGTTGTATGTAAATTAATTCCTCTTCTGTTGCTTTTTGGTCTGTAGAATGATCAAATAGAGTCTGAAGGTCAGTTTGTAAATTCACAGTAGAATTTCTGTTTATTATTTCTGCAGTTCTCTCTCTTATTTGGGAACATATTTCCTCAGTAGCTTCATAATTTTTTTCCAGTATGAGTTTACAGTTGAGTTGTGAATATGATTTCTCCATTTCAATAGTAACACCAACAAGAAACGGTTGCAGTTAAATTTCTCCACAAGATATCCTCAGTAAACTATGAAAGTCTCTTCCAGACATCAAGAATGAGATTAGCAAAGTCAAAGAGCTATGGAGTCTCTTTTCCGGCTTCTCATAGAGTTGTTGTTGTTTTTTTCAAACAATAAAGATTTATCCCTTTAAAAAAGTAAGTCCAAGACATAGGAAAACACTATTCTCCAGCTTAGAAGATATAATAATAAAGTTTTATGATAAGGATTTTTCCAGGGCCCCCAAGTAACCAAAAATAAAAATAGTCAATAAGAGGTTTTTTCCTTTGTTATGGAAAGCTCTTTTCCCCAGATAAACAAAGGCAGCTCTTTCAAAGCAGGGAAGTAATTCCAAAAGGCTTTTGACAGGAGAGTAGTTAAGCAGAAAGAGAGAGGGAAAAGTCTCACTGGGATCATCCACGATGGTTTCTTAACACTTAGATGTTCTTTTGACTTTCAGCTGGAGCAGCTAAATAATCGGCCATGTTACTGGCCGATCTTTCTCTCCGTCGGCCCTGAGGAGCTGCCTCGGACCGCGGAAGGAGCTGCCTCCTCCCCCCGCAATCAACGAGAGTCCTCCTCATTGGTAGTCACCCCTCCAGGGTGACTTTTCGACCCGATTGAGGGTCTACCGGCAGAGGAAAAGCAGGCAACAAAGAGAGAGAGCCTCTTCATGTGCCTGCACCCACTGCAACCCAAACAGGAAGTGCCTCTCCCTTTCAAAGTTGATCAATTAAGGTTGAGGTGGGGGTACCACAAAGTATTATGACCCTAGCAAAAATGCACCAAAGTAGAGCACTCAAAACGAACATTATGAATAGTGACACCCTCCACTTTTCAAGATAAAATTGCAGCTTGCAAGCAATTTAAACATTTATAATAAATATTATTTTGCATCTATGTTATTCTAGCTCTTTTGTACAAGGCAGATGGAAAGAATCCAGCTGAAAGGGCTTCTGTGGTGGCTGTTTCTTGCCTTCTTCCTTTTGTCTTCTTTTCAGAGGCCCTAACAATCTCTCTGTCACATAGCTTGGCTTCACCCTTTGCACCAAATTATAGATTGCTGAATAAACCACAGTGGTTATATCCCCCATATCCATATGTCAAAGCCAAACAAACAACATTGTTTATAGTCTGATGTATAGAACCAAACACAATTCCCACCAAAAAGCCTGTGACATCAGCTTGTCTGAAGTCAAACTTGCAGTTCCTGGCTCAAGTTTGACTCAGGCTTCAGGTACTTCTAATTACTATGTCCTTGAAAATGGTCAGTTTATCTGGGACCTCTGGGTGAGGAAAATGGCAGATTGATGCATCTTTGAAAGCATGGAGACAACACTGAGGCTGGAACTCTGACTTGGTGGTCAGCCCAGTCCTGCAGAGCTTTTCTGGACAAGAAGAAGCCAAAGAGAGATTGCCCATGTGCACTCTGAATCATAGAGGAAAAATTGCTGAATTTGGAAGAAAGAATGAATTTCAAAAATTGAAGATCAATGCAGATACAGTTCAAAAACAAGGTTAAATTTAGTTAGCTTTACTGTTTAAAAAGAGTTGTTTATGAGAAGGGAACCTTGAAATGCAATTTGGGTTGGTGGAAATGGTAAATTTGTTTGCAACTGCTGCAAAGAAGGTCAGAAATCACTTCTTTGGAGTTTTCTATTCCTTTTCCTATCTTTTACTTTTTTACTCTTTCATACCTTTTTCTTTTCTTTTTGTAGTGGTTTAATGCTGTGTAAAAAAGTTTTCTTAATAATGATTTAAAAATTCTTCCACTCAGTCATGTCCAATTTTCACAGACTGCCTGGACAAGTATCCCTGCAAGTCTTCTTGGCAAGATTTTTCAGAAGTGATTTGCCATTGTCTCGTTCCTAGGGTTGAAAGAAAGTGACCAGCCCAAGGTCACTCAGCTGGCCAGTTCTTCTCACAGTATTTTTTCTGCATCAAAATTTTATCACTTATTCAACAGTGTAATGGAAAAGAGCCTTAGGTCCATTAATTCTCAGAAATATGGGATAAAAATCCTTTTATCCTAGAAAAAAGAGACTAAGAATTCATTGTAAAACTAACAACTAGAAAGCAATGCTCTTGTATCAAAAAAAAAAAAATCCATGACCAATACACAAGGTTCAAGTTCATTGCCTATGTCCTACTGCAATCTTTCCCAGTTTAGTTTACCTTGGGATTCAGAGGACATAGTTCCTGGAGATTGCCGGAATTTAAATTAAAGAATCAAGAATGTGGGAAATATATGTACAGTTTTATTGGTTAGATTTATACCCTGCCTTTACAGGTAGTCCTCGACTTACAACAGTTCGTTTAGTGACCATTTCAAGTTACGACACTGAAAAAAGTGACTTACGACCATTTTTCACACTTAAGACAGTTGCAGCATCTCCATGATTATGTGATTAAAATTTGGACGCTTGATCACTTTATTTATTTAAAAACTTTTTATTGAGTTTTATAAGGTTGGGAAGGGATAGGATCAGGATGGGGATTAAGGTTTGGGGTAGGGTTGGAATCAGGATTGGGGTTGGGACAGGATTGGAAACAACATTGGGGTTGCCCCCCAATAACATTTTCAAGCTTTAGCAAACAGACTATTGTCCGGGTACATATGTTCAATAGCAGTAATTAATATAATAGTGAACAACTATAGCAAATATGAGAAACAATAATCATAAACAGTGTCAATTAATCAATACATATCCTTCATCTTATTAAAATATATTCGCCATTAAATATCACAATCGTTTCTTACTAGTTCGTTTTGCTAACCATTGGTAAAAGTTATCCCATGTTTTAAAGTAAACTGAGTCTTCTTTCTCTTTAATCTCTAAGGTTAATCTGTCCATTTCTGCACATTCTAAAATTTTCTTAATTATGATCTCTTCAGATGGTAAATTTTCATTTTTCCAGTATTGGGCAAATGCTATTCTTGCTGCTGTCAATATATGCAATATTAAATACTCATTCTCGGCTCCTAGTATTCCTAACAGAAACAATTCTGGTTTAAATTCTATCTGTATTTTAGTCATCTTTTCCAACCATGTATGAATCTTAAGCCAAATTTTTTTCGCACTAGGGCATACCCACCAGATATGATAGTAGGTACCTGGCTTTTGTTTGCATTTCCAACAGTTGTTCGTTTTTAAACATTTTCGCTAGTCTTACTGGTCTCATATGCCATCTATAAAACATTTTATACAAATTTTCTTTATATGAAGCTGCTTTAGTCAGTTTAATGTTTCTATCCCACAACTTTTGCCAATCTTCTAAATCTACAGAATATCCAAAGTTTTTTGCCCATATTATCATCGTTTCTTTTACTTGTTCTTCTTCCATCTTCAAATTTAAAAGAAATCTGTAAAGTTTCCTAATCAAGTTTTCATCTATTTTTAAGAGTATTTGATCAAATTCTATCTGTTCTTTATAAAATCCCATTGTCTTTACATCTTTTTCATATCTTGTTTGAATTTGCTAAGGCCACCATGCTAAGTCAATACCTAGTTATTGTAAGTCTTGCCTATCTTTCAGTTTTCCGTCCTTGTCCAAAATATCTTTG